GCTTATTTTTAATGGAATTGTTTCTGCAAAAAAAAAAAAAAAGAAAAAGAAAAACCAAAAAAAAAAAAGCTCTCTTCCCCTGCATTTAAATGATAGGTTGAAGATGCATTTAAAAGTTGAATGTGCTACACAGGACAAAGACAAGCGGTTTGGAACAAGCCTCGCTGAGTTACACACTCACAAATCTATGCAGTGAGCTAACAGGTTTGTAAATCTAGATATCATCTGCCTCAGAAAACGGGGTGCCCGAAACAGAGGGCTGCAGATTTTCAGCCTGTGCACAGAGGATATGGAAGACCCGATTCTGCAGAACTCGAAAAGGAACCTGCAAAAGTTTCTCCTCAACGCATCACAGGAGAGATACAGACATAAAACTACCCCTGAAAAAGGCTTCTGCAGGCACCTCCTGCCCTCGCTCTCGAAAGGTTTCTCTGAGGTTCAGACTTGACTACCAGCTCTAAATAGGCGGCTTCGGAGAATGGAAGCCAGGCTTTTACAGCAGCACCAACTAAATATTTTTGTTCACGCTTTATATCAAATCCAAATTACACACGAGTGTCAATCGGTTTCTCAAACTATAAAAAAGGATGGCAACATTGTAACATATGTTTCCTCTTCACGTGGTACACTGCAATTACAAAACGCAAGTCAGGAAAGACAGACATTACCTTAACATACACCAGCATCCTGCGGCCAAGTTACACAACTGTGGAGAATGAAGCTAGTAGGGCAAAGCAAGATGTTGGGACTAGTTACAATAAGCAGGGGCAAAAGAGCCAAGAAACCCAAAGTGAAACCAACTGTAGTTAGTTGCAAAGAGCCTGTAAAATTTCCACGTTTTCCTTTACAAGCGAAGAGGATGACTGCATGACTGATTTTTCTTCTTCTTCTCTTTTCATTTGCTAACTCTTGAAAGTCAAAGTCAGAAAAAAAAATAAATATATTTAGTTGGAAGTAGATCAGTTACATTTTATTAGCCTAATCCAACAAGGGAAAACCTCAGGGATTCACTGAAACAAGTAGAAAGCCCCTTTCAAAGACCCAGGGGTTACTATATTACTTCAGCCCAGCAGTCAATCAATGCAGTAAAAAAATTAAAATACTGAAAATGGATGTTTTTTCCTTTTCCATGTGTCCAGTGATTGCTGTGCTACAGTGTGATGAGGTCTACCAGGTTGCCCTTAGGAGGCGTCATGTTGTCAGGAAAGAAATTTACTAGTGTATCAAAGAGCTGAGTTCTTTGCGCGTATGTATGGTCAACGTCTGAAAATCCTGGGGAAGGAAAGAAAAAAAAAAAGGGGGGGGGGGGGGGGAAAA